TATAAGTAAGACTCCCAAATTGAAGAGAGGCCCTGCTAATTTTTTTGGGTAAAAAGTATTGTCTGCTTTTCAAAGAGTACAAATAAAAATGAAATAAAAAATTACTTGGAACAAATGCATTACACATATACATAGAAGTGTAACCACACTTGAGAGGCAAAACTTATTTTAGTGTTGAGATATGTTGAAACCTGCAAACTCGAATGAAAAAAGTACAAACAACTAATCCCAAAAATATGACAGACAAGTAACTTTTATGTCATTTGGTACAGAGTAACAAAGTAGTTGACTCTTGAACAAAGAAGAAATTAGCCAAATGATAAATCCACAATCTCAGTGTACCCAACAGAGATCGTCGTAGATATGGAAGTTCAACAACATTAGAAAGGGCATGTGTTTTCAGAAGCAATACACATGATTATAGCCTAATAGGAGAACGACAAAGGAATTTAATCACAAATGAAACACTCCCCCGTTAATAGTATAATTCACATAATATCTTGCACATCTTCTCTTTGTAGTGTTCGTACACCCCTTCCCCAATAGATATCTATCATGTTTGAGGAATACACCATGTACGTGATATACATTGACAGCGCACTACAAGTCTTTGCGCCTTAGAGAAATCAGTAATTGTTGGTAACCCATGTATCATACAGGTAGAATACATCTCTTAGCCAATAACGATAAGGTAGTAGAAGTTGCTTCACTATTTTCATGGTTCAAGATAATGCTTACTGCAGGAATTTCTCACCTGAATTCATCATCACTATATGATCAGAAAATGATAGCTCTAGGTCTAAACCACAATATTCTTGGAGAAATTGAAGTTAACTTTTTTCTTATTCTTTATACCATCAAACGTGGGTTTATCTTCTTTTTTTTAACCAGCAAAATATGTGACAACGCAAATATGGACAGAAAACAAAGAGGAGAATAACTAAATAAAGCTGTAAACTGAGATATATTTAAGATATTTGTCAGTATATCAACAACTTTATTTGTCACTCATAAGGAGTTGAGAAAAAAATAAAAGTCTCTCATTATTATCTCTAGTTACATTCTGAAGGTGTTTTAGTTAAGTATAAACTAATATCTCATCATTGGCATCAGCTAATGCATTGCCGAATCATTTACTTAAACAACCTTTCGGGTAAGACATAATTGAACCAACTAATAATAAAAATATGTGATAAATGATGTCCTAACCCTAATAATCTAAACAGGAGGAAACTTCAGCCAGTAAACAAATGTTTTATGTGTCTCAATAGCCTGAAATTAGTGAATCGTTTATTTCTACACTACCCAGTGTCAACAACTCTTTGGAATATGTTCATTTCAATTACTCGCATCAATTGGATTCTACTCATGAGTGTCAAAGAAGTAGTGAAAAATTGTAGTCTTGGAGGAGTTGATAACCCCATCAAGAAGACCCGACACATGATTCCATTATGTATATCTTTGGTGTATTTCGAAGGAAAGAAATTTTAGATGTTTTGATGGTCTGTCAACTCTAATTAACAGTTTGAAATCATTTTGCCTTCTTAACCTCTTCTGTTGGAGCAATTTATTTCCCCATATATGATATATTACTGCCCCCTCTCCTTAGATTTCATTAGATTGCTCAATATGACTTCGAAACCATTCTTTGGTACACCAAGTAAAATTATCGTTTATCAATTTTGATAGACTATAAATTCCAAACAAATATAGAACTCTCAAAATAAAATTCCTTCCATTTGAGGCAGCTTAAAATTCATAAGGAACAAGGATACTTTTAAGCCTGAATATTTCTCTACTCATGTCGAGGCTGCTAGATTAATTATCCATGAACATATCAAGGAAATAAGTACGAAACTACTTGAAAACATGCAATTGATTTGAGTGAGTAATCTATTAGCTTAGAAGATGAAATAAAAGATCCTTGAGCATAGGTATGAAAAGATTTTTCATTAGATTTTCTATTTCAAAAATCAAAAGTTTCCCTCAAGAATCTATTTTCCTTCAAATCCTACCTTAATTTAGTCCGAAGACTTTCAAGACTGTTCCTAAGTTTATGAAAAACATGTTCCATACAGTAGCGAAGTTTGTTATCCAAATAACTAACATGATCCAAGATTTAAAGATATATCAAAATCAACAAATATAGAAGGAAAACTACTGCACAACAATAAACAAACAAAAACCTAAAAAATTATGAAAAATTGAACTCCAAACAACAATGAAAAAATTAAAATTGAAATTAAAATGGTAAGTGAATTCCAAAAGCGGTAGGCAAATAGAAAATCAATATTCTCCAATTTTAGAAATCAATATTCTCTACTCTCTAAAATCATGAAAAATAGAAACAAAATAGAAGATGCTAAAATCGGAGTGCTTACCAATAAATAAATGAATTTTGAATAGCCATTCACATTCCCAAATCTCCTGACATATACAAAATTCAAGAAACATCAAAGAGTAAGAAGCCATAAAAAATATGCAAGCAACTAATATAAAAATTTGTGCTATTCATGTAATATTTATTTCCATTTATGAAGAATCTAAGTTATACCATGTGAAATCTCTTTCTAATTTCATAATTCGAAACCAAAATACTCAAAGTAGTCAAAAAGTCAACAATCACTAAGGTGAAACAGTCGAAAATCTGAAATCAAAATTCATGATTTGAGACAAACTTCAAAACCTAATCACTTTTTCACACACTAACCACCACTAGTATACTAATCCTATTGATAAGCCCATCAAAAACCTCATATAATATTTAACATTGAAAAAAAGGAACAAAGTCCATAGCTAAAGACATCAAATCTAAGGTTTTTTTTTTTTTACATAATAATGGGTAAAAATCAGACCTTGATGAAGAGAAGTGATGCTTAAGCTTTGTAGCGTCGATACGACAGCCATGGTTACAAGAGTTTGAAGCAATTGAGGGTTTTCTGCATGGAGATGGCTAATATGGAGGAAGAGTGGGAAAGATGGACCTAAAACAGAGCACACAGAGACTCAATTAACGTTTGCTTCAAACTAATGATAGTATACAAATTAAGGTGGGGAATTTTTGCACATTAAAAAAAATACTAATTTTGAAACATACATGAGTATATAAAGCCTAATTAGGAACTTGAAATTACAAAATTCTACAATAAACTACTAAAAAAGGCAGAAAATGCATAATAAAAGAACTGAAAACAAAATACCCAATAAATTGTGACTATCAAAAATGTAAACTTGCCAAAGAAAAATGAGAAAAGTGAGAAGAAAAAGAAGGGCAACACCAATTTTCAAGCATCCATGAGTAGTTCAAATCAATTTAGGAACATGCAAGAAGTAAATCCTACAATAGCACATTCAAAAATCAGAAAATCTAATAGATAAGACCCAACAACCGAAAACACATACCCATTAGGAATTGAAGGATAAAAGCATGTATTTTAGGTTAGGATTGTACAATAAACATAAATTTTGATGAGAAAAAATAGATGTGGAAAAGGGGCAAATACACTCACCAGTTTCAAGCTTGAAAGAGAGAGAAATGGAGAATATGTTTTGATGAAAAGGGAGAGCTGCTTTAGCTTCTTTCCAGGTGGATATAAAGCAGCTATAGCCAATGAAATTGGTCTAGACTAAGCTAAAATTTAAAGGGTTTCATGGTACACTTTAGACTCCTATTTGTACCACTATATGATGTTGTGTTAGTC